TGGACAGACCATACATCTTCAATCTTTTCCCTATAACGAACAGCTCATGGTCAGATGAGCGGAGCCCCACGAAAGTATAGCAGGAGTTGGGAAGACAGGCCCAGCATCCCAATAACGAGATCCTCAGCATAAAGGCATTATGTTTGACACGCCAAGTCGAATAGCACTGCTCACCATCGATACCGTTCAAGAAAGCAGGAACAGTACGCGTACAGTGGAGTATCACCCTAGTGATATGAAAAGCACTAGTGAAACACTTATTTCACGACTACTGCATATCACCGCAAATATCGCGATTTTCACCGAGTTTTACACCACCTAAAACGGGTGGAACTCCAATGCATACTCGAAAACAGACGACGACGATTCGATCAAGCATCGAATAAGGCATAGCACTATACCATTATCTACTACCCCAAATGCCCGACTATACTGCAATTGCATAGGCTGTTCCTGCATAGCCTTTCGGACAGCAAAATCCCCCCCTCTTATGAACGGCTTATTGTTGTGGTTATGCAGATATCTACACATCACCACGCCACCATCCACGGTAGAATAGAGTAACTTCAACTACTCGACAGATCCTCCACACCGCTCAATCCGTCTCCGCTCGGGCACTGAGGGAATAAGGTGCGTACATTATCATCAATCAATCGCGAATGGTAAAACTTTCATAAAAAATCATCCTGATAGTTTTCGAGCTCTAGAAATGACGCAGTTACAGAGAGTGGGATGCCATGTGTCAAGGATGGAAATAACGCCGACCACACAGCCTATGGTGAACGTATCGTGACCATCGCAGTTTCACAACCACGTATCGTGCTGCTGCTGCTATTAGCGTTACCTTGATCAGGCTTGTGGTCCATCGTTAGGAACTCTCCAAAAATGTTCGTGGTCGACAGCCTATTCTGGTCCACTAGGCCTGGGTCTTGAGTAAGCAGGCATATCCTGCTGTCGCCCTACCAACACACAGCATTACAGACCATTCGGCTAAGGTCATGCTCAGCAAACAGTAGCAATTGACTCGTGATCGTCCAGCAGCGATTAATTTCACAACACTATCGTCATACGGTATGACGATAAGGTGTATACGGAATGACGATGATGTAAGATCCAAATCAGGCTCCGAACATACCATCACAGGTATCAATGCGCATTTCAGAATTCGATAATTCTATAAGGCCGGCTCCAGGTTTCGTACCAGGGACCTGCCGGATGATAACCTTCCCCTATTACCAAATGGCCTACGGCCAAGTGTTCTTTAGTAATCACAGCGCATACCCCAGTGCTGGCCGCATAGTGAATTCCCTCAGCACCACATAAGTGCATCAATTCAACGTCTGATCTCACAA